AAATCACTGGGATAAATCCTAGTGAATCTGTAATTAGAAAAGTACTACACATGCAACAGACATAGTTCATCATCATTAGGTATACCGGTATGACAGGATTGGCAAAACATAAGAAACAAGAGCCAATGTATAGTGTAGCCTTGTGTCATAAATCATTATCCTTTTATCAAGGATCTGGGCTAGTCATCAATAAAATATCAAAATCAGACATGCTGATTTGGGAAGGCTACAATATGACCTTGACATTCAAGAAAGGTAACAACAATAAATGGAATATGTTAGACTGGACATGAGGTTCATAGCTTCACATTTTCATTATTAAAGGTAAAGACCAGTTATGGTCAAGCGATTGCATTGTGAAAGAAACGTTGTGGAATCGATCAGAAAAGGTTGATCATCTAGCATCTAGCATCTGCAAGGTTCTGAAATAATCAAAATGATAAGAAATTTGGCCCATTCTTTGTAAAGTTACAAGCACTATACACAGAAAGATGTATATGGGACTACCCTATATCTCTCACAAACCATGAGAGAAACAAATGTACCAAATATATGAATTAGTAGGCGGTTTCCCGGCAAAATTTGTTATCATCATGTATTAGGTAAAACATATTCTTTCACATGATTGGTAATGAGAGCTTCCATTTCATTTTTTGAAATTGGGGCATTTCCAATACTGGTCTTTACCTTTAAGAGATATTTATACTCAACTTGTTTTACATGAAATAGTATTAGGTGTTCATTTTCCATCCACTTTGTAAGCAAACATTTCATGTTTCTCTTCTTTTAGTGTTTTCATCTTTTCATAGCATATCATTTTTTGGGCCTTGTCTCATAATAACATATTATTAATTAGAAATGATCACAACTTAACTAAGATTGACATCAACAGAGACTACTTTGAATCAAGAAACAGGAGATTACCGGTACAAATTTTTAGTGATTAAAGAACTTGCAATTTATTCAAATAAATTGCAATTATTTATGAAAATAAGGCCCCAATTATCTGGTTTAGAGGTCAATTAAAAACAAACATAATTAAAAGACTGATCCTCGTTCATGCTTTTGAACTTCCTACAAATTAAAAGCATCTTAGAGAATTCTGAATCTTGTACTTGATTTCTCTCCATACTAAAGTACACCATAATGGAATTTTGAAAGAAAGCGCTTCTGTAAATGTATTTGTTCTGGTCCTATTTATTCTCCTATAACAAACATCATGATTAATATATAATAAATGTACACAAAACATTCATGGAGTCAGATGTTGTTTACAGATAATAAATGTCCAATATTTATTTATTTTCCATACATTTACCTATAAAGCGATGAACCTTTTCTCTCATTTTTGTGGTTTGTTAATAGGGCTGTATAAAAGTGGCGATACATTTCCGTACTAGTAAATGTTTGCTGCGGCTCTAATGTGCTTTGCAAGACATTTATCTACATTTGCCACACTCGACCCAGGTGAGGTAAATGGGTATCTGAAATGCTAGAGTGCCATAAGGGCAGCCATGCTAAAGCAGGGGGTAATAGTTGTGGAGCACCAGGAGTGTCATGTCTGATAGACATGACCGCTATACAAGAACCCATTAATACTATTATTATTATTCAAAGTTGATAGAAGAAGATTATAAGTTCATACCCATAACCTTATCTTAACATGTTTATGAATGAGCCTGATCATACCTGGTATATAAACCCTAGAAATACTTGACATGAGAACATAAAACTGTCTTGAACAGGTTACACCTGGGGAAAAGGCATTTGACAATACATACCATTCACTAGTATCCTTTTAGTATTCCAACTATCCTCAGTCAAATGTGATGAATGGATTCAATCAAACTAAATATCCTCAGCAACACTCCACTTATAGAGCAATGGAGGTACTTAAATATGGCTAAACCATTCAAAATGGTTCTTGAAACGAGTCTCATTTGATTCAGTCTAGTCCAGCCACCAGGATAAGTGTGATGTAATGTCTCCAGTAAAGCAATAAAATGTCCACTTTATCTCACATGAATGAAATACAGGTTGCTTCCAAGATACGAGTACAAATACAGTCCACAAAGATCCCCTTTAGTTGGTGAGCTCCTGAGCCTTTGTGTCCATGCGACCTTCCAGTTGAGTAGGTTTGAATACTATCTTACCACAAGCTATCCACTGCCACCAATGAGCTGTGAAGTATCTACGGACTGAGCCAGCACTAGCCTCCTCGGCTCCTGACAGTCAACCCTGCCTAGCCACACAAATCTCACCTAACAATACAGCTACAAGTGTCTTATTGATTCTCGTTCTGTCTTGGGATAATTACCAAGCTATTATTATCCGAACAGCTGAGGGGCCACAATAGGAATGACATATACTTTTAAGCGGTTTGTTAATAAGAGTCCAGCTTGAGCCATGAGGTTAATGAACGCAAGCTTGTCCACTTTTGCACTTCCCACGTTCAATTTAGCCGAGTTCATTCCCATAAATTCAACTACAACCACAAAAATCCATTCATCACTTCTAGGAACGAATGAAATGACCAGTTCTACTGTAAACTCTGTAACAATGACAACTAGAGTCAAGCTTAAGACTACAAGATTATTGAAGTACAAAGTTTTATCTATTGCACACTCATCTTGTAAAAGATAAATAAGTTATCAGGGATATACAAATAATCAATGGTCAATTAAGAACACCGATATAATTATTTGGGCAACCCTGTCTGCTTGCAAGTATATACTCATGGAAGGGGCACTCAAGGCAATGGGGGGGGGGGGCGCATTCCCACCCACCCTACAAATTGTAGCTATGGAACAGACATATGTAACAATCAAGTCTTCAGCACAACTAATTGCTTAGAATACAAATTGAAAAGTTAGATTATTGATAAAGCAATGTCTGGTCGATGGTCATTAGTGTTGTTATTTTCATTCTTCTTGTCTTCTTATTGTCCTTATAAATCGTCCTTGAGAATTTTATAGGGTGAAGGGTCTATTAGTCAACCTGAGGAGGGGGTATTGATTGCAAGTTAGCAAGGGGCAATAGATGCATTACTTGATCTCCACGAACCAAAAACAATTGTACTCTCTTCATTATAGTTATGGGATTAACTCTTACATTTTCTTACAAATTTGAAGCTAATTGCTAATGGCAGACTCTTTTGTTAAAAAAAGGGGGTTCTCCAGCATCACTAAATGAAGAATGCTTCAAATAGACCGTCCCAAAGAATATCAAGTTTGTTCCAGGGTTCTTAAATCAAAATGGACCTGGGGGTGTTTCACAAAGATCCTAAGTTGGACTTAACTCTAAGTTGGACTTACAAATTATGGAAAGCTGTTAGCGTCATTGAAAATGTTTTGTAAAAGTTATTTTAAAAGGCATAAAATGTTGATTCATATCATTAATATTTTCTATTATCAAGGAGATTTCATGTTCTTGATGTAGACTTTATGAAAAGTCTAAAATACTTGAATTTTTTGCTTTTGAATATATGTTATTTTAAGGCTACAAATGGCTCTCCATAATATTTAAGTCCAACTTAGAGTTAAGTTCGACTTAGAATCTTTGTGAAACACCCCCCTGGGGTAAAGAAACCAGCAGTCTAGCTTGTAATATATAACAAGGGGTCAAATTGTAATACAAGATAGTGGAGTTCCATTCTCTGATAGAAATGAAACTAATAAACTTTTTAGCATCCCTGGATATTTCCTACATTTAATCATTTTTAATCACATCTAAAAATGGAAGGTAATAAAACTTGTAAATGTGCAGCATAAAAGATATTTATAATAGCAAACGGTTGACTCCATCAAAAAGGACCTAGAATGACAAACGTCTCCATTAAAGGTTTCTAAAATATGAGATTAAGACTTTAGAAGATATACTACCATCAAAGATAAATCATGATTTATTTACCTATCCCAGCAGACTAAGCTCATACAACGCTTGAAGAACTTTAATGGCAGTATTTATCACTCAGTGACTTGTTGTAGAAATCAAGTATTAAATACAGAAGCAATGGGAGAAAGGCGGCTAAAAACCCACATGGTTGAATTACCTTTATTTATCAAATCAGATGACATATCAATCGGGTCATATTGGGTATAACCTTTTCTTTAAATCTATAATTCCCTCTTTTCAGGGATCCTTTGCAGGAGTTCCCGACACTGAAAAGGTTGGAAGAGATATAGGGGTAACAAAAGGCCCCTATCTATTGACCACACGGGTGCATAAATCACCCAATTACAAGTTCATTGTGGTGGTAGCAGAGTGGAAACTCTTCAGATAGCTAGAAGCCTTCTAGTCAGGATTAATCACAAAGAATAATGGTTTGAACTCTATTCACTTCAGGTCAAACCAAACCTTTGTGTACTTCTCTCTTTTCTTTAATTCACCGAGATGTTAACACCGTGTACTCTAGTTCCGCAAGGCATCGATACCATCAGCAGTCTCTGTGATAAGATCTGTTTCACACCAAATCTTAAATCCAGTCTCATTTATCATCTAACAAGATGAAATGAGGATATGATGCTACAGTTATATCTCTTTCTTCTCAGTGTAATTGATACATTATGCATTCCCAGGACACCTTCCCAAGTTTAAACACTTAAAATGGTTGCAGGTTCAATATCCTGATACAAAAAGAACTGCTATTCACAAGGACATAAAAAGCACTCAGCTGATAACAGTCTATGTCATTTCAAATACGTAGCAGCAACAAACCTGCAAGAATACATTACAGAAATCCTTCCTGACCCTCACTTGAAAAATAAGAAAATACAGACATTTTAGGAAATTATAGCTTCTAATCAATGTTCATTATATATAGACAGTTAATTTATTAAAAAAATACTTTGATGTGATTAGGTGAAATATGTATACAGGTACCTATCTGGTTATGTAGCTTCTATTCTTGTCTCATTGGACAAGCCTTCAGCCATATCTCCTGAAAAGAAACCTTCCCTTTTTGTAAAGGGAGGAGAAAGACGATGACTGTGATAACTCACCTGAAGTCCTCAGTCTGTCTTAAAGCACCCTCTTCTTTCTTGAGTGTTTCCAAGATGAAATCTCCTTCCTTGTGAAGACTGGCCATCCTAGAGTCCTTGTACACCTCCTCGTGTTTGACCTTTAACCTATCGATGGTGTCTCTCAGCTCTCCAGATGGTGCCTTGGTAGACCCTCGACTAAGCTCATCTACCGATGTCAGCAGAAACTTAGCAGCACTCTTACATCCACATATGAATGGCTCTAGCCTCTGCAATGATTTAATAAATGGTACATTTATATATCCAAAACTGGTCAAAAGCATTATTTGATCTAGTACCATCCAATGATGTATATATTCATCAGGTCTGCCACTTCATACGTCTACCAAAACCCTGTACACCTAAACATCTGGAAAGGGGTAGATCCTACACTTAGCAGATACTGAGTAGTGAACCATTAAGAATGGTAACATCATCTTACCTTTCAAACGCACATGCTAACATTCACATTTAAATTTCAGATGAGCACATTTCCAAAGAAAACAAAAAAATCATGAAATGTTTTGTGATGGAGGCAAGATTTTCTTGAGTTTAGCAAGATGAATGCGTCAATTGCATGGTTCAGACAAAGGTCTAGTGATAGTGATGCGTCTATTGCATGGTAAAGACAAAGGTCAAGTGATAGTGATGCGTCTATTGCATGGTTCAGACAAAGGTCTAGTGATAGGGCCATCTTACCATCCGGAATCTGATCCAGTCCTCATGTGTGTACTTGAAGGTCCCACTGAAAGTACTGGTGAGCTGCTCCTTGGGGATGTGTTGGTAGAGCTTATCAACAGACCGTACCAAGTCCATCTGCATAAGACAAGTATATCCACTGTTATAAATCTACCGATTATAATAGAATCCTCTTTGTAGGTAATTCAAGAAAATCAGTTGCATTATGGAATAAAGTACATCAAATTATATATTTTCCCAAGTCAGTATTTGTACTTTGAGCCTGCCTGTCTGTCAGGATTCAGTGATAAATGTTGGTAGAGCATGATCGCTCTTGACCATACGTTTCAGCTTTTGATCACTTCCATGGTCATCATTGGTCATGTGGACATCCTGTATAGAAGTAGGTCATTTGGCGCACTATCAGTCCTGTCCTGCTAACCCACAAGATATTTGCACAAATTCATGGTTGCTTAGTGCTCAGGATCAAAACAATATCATTTCCAAACAAGTAATCAGTTCCCCTGGTATAATCAGAAACCTCAAAAGTTGTTTCAGACTGTCATGAATCCTCTTTAGGAGCACATGAACAGAGCTGTATACAAGTATCGGTAGTTCAGCAAGTGTTTTAATGGGACCTTAGTAACAAAACAGGAAAGCATCTGTTGAAAACCATATCTTATCATAATCATCTACGAAGGCATCCTCTAAAAATAGAGGACCTTAACTCCTATTTAACAGAAGAAGTTTAAAAGTTCTTACTACAGTTTGACAGGTAAAGTGTGAGTCAGTGGATTGAAGATTGTCATACTTCACAAATAATTAAAATGCCGTGGTAAGACAAGCAAACACAACATAAATGTGTCATTCAAAATTAATCTTGTAAGGTATGATAGGGGCAAAAAGGGAGAAATCCAAGTCCTTAACAAATAATTATTTCAAAGATTGGATCCTTGTTGAAGATATCAGATATATTGGACAACATAGATTTATAAATCGACTCCTAACACCATCACAAGTTTAAACCATAACATGATACAGAGATAAGCAAAAGAGATATTTGAAAAAATACTCCCTTATATCATCAATGTTTGGTAACCTCTTACTCCATCCTTTGTGAATGTGTATTCACTTATAATGAAGACCTCTATGTAATAAAGTATTCTGAACCTATCCTCACTCAGTGAGTAATGGGTAAATTAGTGGAGAGAGAGAGCTATTTTATTCATTCGTTGCCATGCCTAAGGTTAGGCCCTACACAAATTCATATGTCTACATGTTTTATCTCTGGTACGAGAAAGGAAAATGGAAAGGTGGTACAATAAAGAACATGCCAATAAGTCTTCTGTGCAGGACATCATGATGCATGGTGTCAGCGGTGGGATATTTGTTTTTTATAATGTGTTAGCACTTAGCAGATTGACAATTTATTTCCTTCGTCTCAGTTACTAGTAGAATACTTGGGTTTTATTTTTTTTTTTTTAATTCTTGCTTGATGCACTGAAGAAAATGGGCAATATTATGAATGTGCCTCAACAAAGCCACATATGGTTCGGTGCTAGCAATGGGTAAATCAAACTGTTTGTAATCTCATGCATGAGGATTTCCTACTTTCTTTACTTCTTCTTTTTTTGTTAATTAAAAAGATGATAGTTTAACAAGCCAGCTTGCTACACACTATGGCATTTAATATGTTCCCATATTCTTTAAAACTAGCTAGAATTTTAGCACTTTTATTCAATGATTTCGTTCACTTCCATGTTTTTAGATGAAAAAAGTATCTCATTAGAATTTAAGAAACAGAAGGACACTAGCTAATATCACTCAAATTTAGTTAACTCCTTTGAACCTCAGCAGACAAGGTGTTTAGTGATCACCTGTCGCCTACCACAAACATGCAATCCTAGTAAGTATTTTTAGATCTCATAAATTCAGTGAAAAACATGGTGGCCTTGCTTGAGGGGAAAACAAGTTTGAGGTTGAGCTCCAGTCAAGATCAAGGTGCTAATTTTCTTTGAAAACAAACCTCAGGTCAGGTTTAATCAATACCTTCCTTGCTTCCTGTACTAAAATACAATCCCGTTTAGCTACACTTTGCTTGATGGCGATGTCAGAAGGTTTTCTGTGTCAATTCACTGGATCATGATACTTTATGGCTACAGTTTTTTGCTTAACAACAACAAAACCCACACATATCATTGATAACGATAGAAAATATCTACAAAACACATAACATTGACAGTCAAAGACATTATTTAAGTGCTTTACTTTTACACACACATAGATAGAGGGAAACTTAGTAAGGAGTGATTACATAACATGATCGATGACAACCATCTCTTGTATTGAGATGTATGTTGGTGATAGCTAATCAGCATCCTATTTCAATTTTTTTCTTTTACTAGAAACATACAATTTGTTGCCAATCTTTTGAAATATTTCCTCTCCTACCTTTTTCAAAGACTTTTTTCCTCTATAATAGAGCATGGACCGATGGATAAGGTAACCATAAATACATTTTTTAATAAAAATATCTATGGTACGCAAATGTTAAGATTTCTATTAGAGCAATCAAATAACCTGATGTAAACCGTGCAAGGATAATAAGTCTGAACATTCAATAAAAAGTGAAGACGAAACATTATCCTTCTTATGGATTGGAGTTTAGAGGTCCAGAACGTGTATATAACAAGAATGATAAACTTCATATATCCATAAATAGCAGGAAATGACGTTGACAAGAGTTCCATCACATTACACACACAATGTCACGTTTAAAAAATATGAAACTAAAATTAGATCTGAGTTGGTTATTGAGTGAGCAGAGTCAGGTGATAACAATGTGTTTCAAAACACACCTTCCAAAATGAAAGCCTATCTTAACCACAAGAGATAATAAGCACTAAGAAACTGAAATGATTGATTTCAATTACAAGGTTCATCTAACTTTTTGAAAAGTTGAGTTATAAGATAAATGATGATGGTATGGTACATGTAATACAAACACTCCTTTCATTGTTCTCATATTGAATGTTTGGTTTCCTTAAAATCACAAAAACAAGCAATGATTTGAAATAACAGTTTCATAGAAATATTTGCAGGTGAGAGCTTAGTGAAAATAGTTTCCAATTGTTAAAAAGCTATCGTTTATTAAACCAAAGCTGAAATCTATCTTCTCAAGAATGAATGAAATCTTCATCACATATCAAAGGAACCCCAAACCACAAACAGTGATAAAAGTGATAGAATACACAGTGGTGTAGCATACATAATTCTTTTACATTTTCAGAATAAGCACATTATTAAATATTGAATTATCTATGTATGAAGAGAGCCTCAAAAAGGAACCAATTTTCATTTGGTGAGCCCAAGGTTTATCTCCTTTTGTTACTGCACCTTCTTATTGTTATACTCTCTCTTGTGTTTCTGGAGATGTGAACAACAAAAAATATATAAAATAAACTAATTCACAGAATTAGTGTTATTATCTCAAGCATTCCATTTCCAGGTGACTCTTACATGGAAGTAATCTACATAGCATCTGTTTATTCCTATCCAATAACAACATTTTGTCTTCTGACAACAGCTTCCTAGAAAGACAACATTTTGTTTTTTACTCTACACCCTTCATAACAAAACAGTTTACAAACATCTTTCATAAGTGAATTTACTCAATTATCATTTATATTCAATTAACACTGAATTCATTTAACTGTGAAACAGTTCTGTGTCTAGGGTGGCAGGGGTACTGTGGAAGTATAAACAAACAGGTTATGTTTTCCTTATTTGTTTTAATATTGTCCTACATGTGGTTTCTCTCTAATGTATTCAGATCTCTGAATTCTTTCCTAACTGGACCGTAAAAATATATTCAAAACTAAAACCTACAAATTGAAAACTTGTAAGATCATAGAGACAACAATAAATGAGGCTGAACAGTTTGTTGCTCTGCATCTTTTACTCAGGAACCTATAAAAGACTAGATTGGTGTATGCTGTATATACATCAATGACCTAATGATGTATTACATATCAAGGACTGTCGTTAAATCTTACAAAATGAATTTTGCAGAGATTAATAAAATGACGTCTTCAATCCGACTTAGCTTACCGCTCTCCATCCATGTCAGAAACCTTTCTACTACAAGCAGGCTAGATCATCAGAAGCTCAAGTTCAGGATCACTTTCACTCTATCACCCCAAGCCCTTAATCCCACTTCTAAAGCCATACCTAACTCAAAACTCTAGCATCACTTATCCTTACCAAGACTAAAGCCATACCTAACTCACAACCCTAGCATCACTAATCCTTACCAAGACTCCTCTAGTAGGAAACCAATCATTTGAAATGAATGGGTCCTAATTAAGAGGGTCACAGTGATGGTCATCAAGCTGAAGGAAGTAAGGGTGTGCTTCACTGAGAACTGCTAACCACTCATCAAGTTATCCAATTAGAAAAGACAAACTGAAGGGCAGTTCACAAGTAATTGCAAGTAATTAGTCAACCGTTAGTATCTAAATGAACTACATGCTGGCACTTACATGACGATTACAAAACATGTCTTGGGATACACTTCATTTGATAAGGATTCCTACTAGAGCGAAGGAAGGATTTTTGTGGGTTTGTTTTTGTTAAGCTTTGTTTCAATAAAGATGAATTTGCCTATTGAATTTACAAACAGCCTTGCAAAAAATGAAAGTTTGCATAGTCTATGAAGGTACAGAATATTCAAGATAGGTACAAACATATCTCATGTTTGTACATAAATAAAAGTTTTTACAATCTTCATTGGGCCAACAGATTTGTCTTTATAGTGTCCATAGAGTCTTCCTCACATTCAATAACTGTATACAAGCTCATTCAAGGTAATAATAGTTTGCTTCTAAAGTATATCATGGAGATGAAATATGAATCTTATCACATTACGACTTGACCGACCACATCAACTAGCTAACGATGAATCATAAACCAAGTCATTATATTACTCATTCACTGGTGCTCGGCCAAGACAGCTGATCACATGTAGATAGATGCCTGTAACAAGGCTGTAACTATAGCCTTGTATTGTCAATGGCATACAGTAACTACCAAGTAGCAGAAGTAGCTAACAAATCACCTACCCAATAGCTGTCTTGCAAATCTTCCAGAAAGTAGAACTTAGTTTTGTTTTCAGGCTGCTTTGGTGTTGAATCTGATGCAAACCAGTCATTTTGGGGGCCAACCTAACTTCAAATTTACTTGTGAGAAGCTTTAAAAGATATAGTACTAAATGAAGAAGGCAAAGACAACATGCTATTGGTTCAATGTCACATAAGGGTGGGCGAGGATAAGGATTTCCATCAGATCAATGGAGTAGGATGATGTACAAACCTTGTAATCCAGTTTGGTCTTGAGGAGTTGATTGTTTGTTGCCCTCGTCACTCTGGCTAGGACTGAGTTGTGACCAATCAGGAGATACACATGGTCTATGGAGCCTGGATGATGCTCCTGTAAAGATAAGAAATTAATCAAGATGACATTTAAATATTAGAGTACTGATCAAAATTCCAATAATTGATGAAAGGATGGGAAGGGAGAGGGTGCATGGGGTCGACCACAAATCACAGAAATAAATGAAAAATCAGTGATAAATCATATTTCTGAACTTTTCCAGTTGTGTAAGGGGACTTTTTTTTACATTCTTATGTGTGTATATCGAATATAATGTAATGGAACATATCAACTTGACCCCAATGACCTCAACAGAAATCAAGATTAACCCATTTGTTACCCAAAGTCTAAACTGCCTTTTACTGACTTTTGTAATATTTTTTTCCAGCCTATGACAAAAAGATGAAATTTAAAACCAGAAAAACATGGCATAGCGAAAAAAAACAATTGATCTTCAAAGAAAAAAAGTCATGAGAGTTGATAATGATGACACACTAAGTGACAAAAATAAAAGCTACCGCAGAGCTGGCTCCAAAATTGTCCCACTCATCACAGAAGAAACAAAGAGATTCTAATGAACATCATGCTGTGAGATGTCTCAAGGAGGGTGTGTTTTCTTCAAATCTCTCATGGTGCTTATAATTAGAGTCTAGCATGTGTTTCCTCTACCTCAACAAATACATCGTCATGAAATGTCACTAAATCATTCAGTCTCTTTGTTTAAAAGGATCGAATTGTCTGTGACGTCTAACGATTAATGTTGTATAATAAATCTAATCTTTTAGTTTCATCTTTATTTACATACAACTGACTTTTAACATTTTCATAAAGAAGTGTTTGTAGAACAGCTGCCTGAAATAAAAACAAAAGGATTTTATTCCCATAAAGAGCTAAATGGCAACCCAGATATAGATCGTTTGATACAGATCAATGTGCGTCCCATGTCTTAAGAGACGGATTGAGACAGTACCAATTTACGTCATACTGTGAGATATCAATCACCAGTTTGCATTCAGACACTCGCTCAACTCTTGTTAAACATGAAAAGTCACATGAGCATTTAAAGTCTTCTAAAGTGATAAAAAATGCAAGAAATCTAAAATCCTTTATACCGATTGCCCACATTTGTGCCAGGCTCACCACTGACCAGCACCAAGTAAATTGGAAATGCACTAATATTCCAAGCCATATTGATTTTTACAATGCAGGGATTTGTGTTCCATTCTGAAATTGTAGTTCACAAACTATCAACCATCCACAGAAAACATAATTGTGAATCAAAGTGCGTGCACTGAAGAAATACAGTTGTAATAAAGAAATAAGTTTTATGCTATCCCTAAGGCCCTGTTCCAAAACCAATTTTGATTCATGTACTATTCAAATAATCGTTAATATTAATAAAAATACAGAGTTTGTTTTACTGTAGTTGTTATTGATAACTCTAATTACAAGCAAATATTTTGGGAAAAACCTGAATAGTGCATACTTTGTAAAAGTCAAAACTTGTTATCTGCTAATGATGATCAAGCATACCTTATCAAAATGAGCACTCCAACAGGATTCAGTAGCTAAGCCATGAAGTGATGGAAGAGGTTTGATCTACCCCTATAACCTTTCTAACATTCCCCCTCTTAATCTCAATCTAATCACCCTTCTGAGCACTGTATTAAACAGGATCAGACCTTCTACCTGCTAACGACCAGCCGAGATCACTACTGGGTACATCAGTATGACACATCTTTGTGATCTAGTGTTGAAGGATTGTTGAAGATTAATGTTAATCTGTGAATGCTCGTCATGGATATAGCGTCATTCCACAGCCCAAGATAAAGTAATAGAGTGATTCAAATACTGAATGACACTGCTATTTATAGTGAATATGCCTATATCCACCTATGAATTGAAAGAAGAAAATATAATCTACAAGTTTATATCCAGGTACTTGAGTGATTAATGAATCTTGCTAGTTTATTTTTTCCTCCTATTTTAGCTTACACTAGAGCCCTTTCTGATAAGTCTTTAACAGATCGATACTTGTGTGAATCATATTCTTTTCTACTAGGCACGTATATATTACATAATACTTAAGTTTAGAAATTACTATGCATATCATTTCATAAGCAGTAGCATACAACGGCAGCACCAAGCTGGTTTTCTGCAGCTTGCTGCCGTTGCTGCTTGACAGAGACGCCATCGTGGACGTGGAAATCGGAGCAAAACTTTGATTGTTGATATAAAAACAACACAGTTTCTCAAAAGTTTTCCAATTACATGAAAAAGGAGAGTTTCTCTCCCTGTTGAAAATTTTTCAAGACCACTGGTCCGAAAAAACGCAGAAAATAAGGTATTTTGACTGCTGAGGGAAAGTTGCTTTCCAAGTAAAAATCAAAATCAAATGCGCCGCGTGAGCAAGATCTCATGTAATTACGACGGAGAAATATGAAATAAAATTACCTGTACAAATCACATTTATGTCACACTATTTATGTAATGACAACACTCAATAAGCTCAGAGAAAGAGAATAAAAACCAGGTAACTTACATGAAGGAGCTGCAGCGCTTCTGTGACTTTCTCTACATCTGATTTGGGAGCTGTTCTGGCATCCACTGCTACACTCAGACCTCTCCAACGCACTTCCTCCCTAGGGTATGCCAAGAGAGAGGAGAAGAAACAACGCCGGATGTTAGGGGTGGGACCACGGGAGGAGTAGTTATGGGAAATGTGTTAACAGTTTGATTGTCCCTATGGGAGTTGAGGTAAGCCAATGTTAGTTCACTGGAAACTGATTATGAGAGATAATTCCAAGGATTTCACATCATGTTTCATGCTCTCATGAGAGAAAGAAATACATCAATTATGTTTTTATATCTTTACAAGTGTATATATATGGCCTAATTTGTTTTCACTTACCGGTAAACTGAATATATATGGAAGGTTTTTGATTTCATTTCTAAGGAAATTTGTTTTCAGTGTAAGCCCTTTGATGCAGAAACTAAAGTTCTTTCCCAATAGGTGGACTCATACAGATGTCCTTTTCTTTCTTAGAGCCAGTGTTTGGATTTTAACAAAGGATCAATATCCTTTCTAGTAAAAAAAAAAAATTCAACCCGATAATCATACTCTGATGACATTTGCCAGAAATGCGGAAATGAGAACTGTATTGTCCAATTGTCATGAGCTATTTATGATGTTGGCCCCAAGAATAGTCAAGAGGATGCCAAGAGTATATATGGACTGCTTAATAATATCTCAGAAGATCTGCCAGCTAACAATAAGTCTTTATCGACCTGTCCAAGATACAAACATAATTATGGATAACAATTACAAGATTAGATCTTCCACTTTTGTTTCTCATTCAAATTAAGAGACACCATACCTGCTGATATAAAAAAAAAAATCAAATGTGCCAATGTCATTAAATTTCAATGCGTAGCAGTGAAAACAATAATAAAACTCCACACCTAACTTTATCAAAATAACCTTAAAGTTGCTCAAGCATGGGTATATAGAGGGCAGCACATGAACGTACGCACAGGAGCGTAATACCCATTGGCTCAGTGTTATACTGAGTGATCAGGAGTGATCGGCAAGTTGCCTACTTCACGAACGACTATATACCCACGCTTTAGCAACTTTAACATCATCTACTGATACTCGGTTTTCTGGCAATTTAATATATACATTGATTTCAATATACATGTATGTATAACAACAAATGGCAATATCTGTATGTACATACTATATGCTTATGAAATTTATCTGATCATAATAGTGTGTACATCTTTGAGAATGATTTTACCTGTTTCTGTCTACTCTGACACCAATAAGATGAAGATACATCTCCAATCCTAACACCTCCACAAAACTTGGAACATACGGGATACAAGACAACATGATGTATTCCTCATACAGCATCTATCTTCGCATGTAAGTCTTTAATGAGCCATTTCCTTAGCAAACTTAATAAATCAAGGATGGAATCACAGATCAGATGTAGAGAGACACAGATTAATTAGCAGTCAAAGTTGTTTAAAAATGCAGCATCAGAAACAACAAAAGCAGTCTTATAGACAAGGTGTCGATGGTCACTGGTACAGTATTCAATGATGAAAACAGGTTGACAGGAAGTGGTCTTTAGAAACAGGTGGTCACTAAGACAGGTTGTACTGTGCATATGATCCTTTGAAGAGAATACAAATTCTTCCATTCAGTGATAAATGATAAGAGACACAATGAAACTGCCAGATGAAGAAAAAAAGCAAATCAGGATAGGTGTCAATTCAAAATATTCAAAAGGAGACATTCATAAAGTTACAATGATCTTGATGTCTATAAACAAAATTCCTTCAATTCCGCAACTCCCGAGATTCAGAATCCACAGGTTGAGGCCAACTGCCTGCTGAGACACAGACAGTCTGAATTGGACTTGTCACAACAAAAACCCGCTATCTCCAAAATTAGCAGAGATTCACAAATGTTCAGGTGCTCATGTGACAAGCGTTATGAGTGAATTAGGAAGATGCATGCTGGCAGCTAGAACGGGAAGTTGGATTGTGAGGGCGCACTAGGGTGATGGCATATCCACAGGCGTAGAGTCAGTGGTTGTATAAAGTGGGATGGCATGGGGAAGGTGAGTAAGCATAGCAAGTCAGGTAAGAGAGAGAGAGAGAGAGAGAGGGGGAGGGAGGGGGTGAGAGAGGGAGAGGGAAAGAGAGAGGGGGAGGGAGGGAGGGAGGGAGGGAGGGAGGGAGGGAGGGAGGGAGGGAGGGAGGGAGGGAGGGAGGGAGGGAGGGAGGGAGGGAGGGAGGGAGGGAGGGAGGGAGAGAGAGAGAGAGAGATTGGGAGGGAGAGAGGGAGAGAGAGAGAGAGAGAGTGTCAGACGGTGCCACAATAGGGGGAAGAGAGAAATACAAAGGTGGGATAGATGGGAAATATGAACAGATATAAAGAAAGAAAAAACAGAAAGATAGGAGAAAGATCTGAAAAATGGGATAAAAGAAGAGAAAAAAAAGAGAAAGGAGAGATCTCTGGGAGGTGAGAAGCAAACATAAGAACTGAAATGAAAGTAAGGGTCAAATCATCACCTTTCATCAAATTCAGAATTTTCCCTCTTTTGAGGGGTTACTGACTTTCGCGCCATAATGACACTCCCTCCCTCCACTTCTTGTTGTCTCAAGCATCCTCCTTATTTAGACCAAGCTTACTACTTTCTTTCTTCACCGTACATATACAATATAATATCATTTTAACATTTCTTCTCAGTAAACTTTTCACAAAGCAGATATCCGGGGATGTAGATAGAGAAGTTTATTCCATAAGCACAACAAGATACTGGTAGAATGTAACAATATTCCCATACCCCCCTTCCCGCCCCCCCCCCCCCTCCTCCAAAAAAAAAGATACAAAATGAAGGAGTTTCTTAGTCCTGACCATGATCTTGGAGTCGGACCTCCCTTGATGCGTTAATCCAACCCTAAATCAGTCCCAACCCCCTGGGCTTACACCATCACTCTTAACAAGTTGCGGACATCAAATACAGAAGACCGACTTGCTCACTAAATTGGCAATAATCACAGTGCAATTAGCCGATTAGTTCTACACACAGTTTGTAATCCTGCAGTCATGCTTTGTTTCAATGAACTGGCCTGGGGACGCCCCAAGCAGGACCGGATATGAAACATGGACAGGTGTAATCTAATTGTCTGTTCAATGATCCCTCCAACAGAGAAAGATAAGGACCTCATAATGACTTGGATCAATACTTAGCTTTGTCCTTTCCATGCTTTCATTCAGCTATTAATCAAATATTGACAAACAATTTTTAAAGGTTTAAAGAAGTCAAGAAGATAAATATTTATGAGAGGAAATGAAAGTATGTCCTCTTGTTGGGCATCAAGGATAGCCGCAGACACTGATCCGTTAATCTAGTCTAATGAAGGTATCCAACTGTAACATTTCTGGGAAATACTGAATGCTCAGTAAAATCTTTTGAGAGAAGTCTTTTGAAATCATTTCAAGTTAATGACCCATTTTAGGAAAGTGTTGCAGCAGAAAGTTTGATTAACAGGAAAGGAATTTCTCCAAGACAGCTCAATGAATTCTCCCTACAGTATTTTCTATGAACAGCATATCTTTAACCCTTTCTTTTTTATACAATCTTTATAGCATACATCCACGAATGACGACACTGGAGATTTTTTTCATTTCTCCATTGTTCAGGAAAGAGGTTGATTACCTCCTTGCTTAGAAAGAATGCAGCCTGTGCCCACTGTCATCACTTTCTTTCCATCACACCATCAACAAGAGTTAAAGCATAACAAAGGCTCACATCTTCAAGTATTCTATTGCTCTGGTTTAGACGATGGGAACACTACTTCTTCTCAGTACAGGCATTCACTTCCAGTGTAAGAGGAAGACTTTCAGTCCTGCACCTGCCGTCTCTAGGGGGCCAATATAAACCAACATCTTCAATATGATCTCAGATCTAATAAATCACACTGTGATATCAGATTCTATATTGTCATAACCATAATCAGAGAGGGTCAAGGGTCTGACATCACAACCCTTCATTATCAAAATATGATTTCTTCACAGGCACTACTAAGATCGTGTTCCTTCATTTAAAACACATTGTAACTGTGATCTTGTCACCTGAAAGTAATTAACCATACTCAAATGCGATTCCCAACATATTGCTATTTTAAATTCCTGCTCTCATTCAAAATTCAGTGAGAATCTTGGATTCATGAATCAACCTTATAAAAGTTTAACAGAACATCGGCTGTAGCTTTGACCCCTTTATGGCCATAGTCCATAGATGATTAATCAATCCACATTTTGACATTTCATTTTATCTCATCAGACATAGGAAATTCTGTTTTTCTTCTGACATTGAAAAATATTCATGAATCACAAATATTTTGTACCATTTGTTTGCGTTTATGTGAACCCTGACAGTACAACCTAATTAAAAAGTTGTATCAGTGATACGCTTTAGTACCAGTTGGCAGTGTGAAGGTCAATTTAATATCTTCTATCTTATCAAGTAAAGGAAATCATCATAAATAAGACGGTCCTGACCTAAGAAATATGAGATGACAATCTTTGAGGAAAGGATAGAATAAACAGGAAGTATCGTTTGAATCTTGATCTAGATTACTCTGATTTTGTCCTCATTTTCTAGGGGCTTACAGGGGGCATGAAGATAGGATAGGAAGTGAATGGCCAACGTCACACTCGTACTCCTAGATTCAGATTATGAAAAACGATGCAAAAATATACAAATGAAAAATGATGCAATGATGTATTGCAATTCAGAAGTTTAAAAGTTCTACATGTAGCTCTGATGAAACAGGTTTGGTTTTAAATGGGTTCAATTATAATGTATTGTAAAATAATCTTTGAACAGAACGATCTATAAGTAAGTTACAACTAAATGTGTCACTAAAATATAAAGATTCCCTAGCTCTATACAAGCATTTCTCACATAGTTGCCTACATCAAAATGTTTGCATAAAGACTGTTTTATTTTATCTACACCACAAATAATATTATGCCTGGCCAATATTACCATTGTCTCACAGAATACTATTGTCATCTAATCAGCAATTAGAATTAACCTAATAAATGACAGGATACAATACGTATTCATTTTGACAACAGCCATAGTCCAGACCTTGACCACTGAATGTACAATAAGTCAAAGTCATTAAAAAACAGTGTACTTTCATTATTGTTGTAGCAATTACAAAAGCAGTTGGCCTGTTGTTCTGGAAGAACTCCAAGATAATTTAAGTTGATTTTGAGGATTTGATATTCAGATTGGTATATCATACTCTTCACAATTATTGACAATTGTTGTGGCTTTTTTCCTAAATGTTGTCATTTTGAATTTCTCAATCCCAATTATAGTCACATCCTCAAGGAATACTATAGAAGCACAAGAACTAGCCCAGGTTCCACATCAAAAGACAATCCGGTAGTGATCCCCAGCCCATCCTTGATGTTTAACAGGGCCTCATGGAAGACCACCATTATTGGTGATAATGAGGCACCCTGTCTAAATATCAGAAATAAAACCCCGTTCTCACTCACTTCATTGGAGCGCTCTGGAGCGCTCTAACTAAGACCCGCTCCTCAGGAGCGGTTCTTAGGTGAGTGAGAACGCTCAAAGTGGTCCAGGAAGCGGACTTCTGGACCGCTCCAGAAGTCCACCTTCCGAGGTGGTCTTGAGGAGCAGGTCTTATTAAGAGCGCTCCAGAGCGCTCTAACGTGCAATGTGAACGGAAAGCGTACTTTTTCCGCGCGCGAAAAAATTGACCCGCCTACCTGAGCTGCCATAGCAACAAGACCACTTTGACTCGTGGAGCGGTTTGAGCCATAAAAACTGCTCGGAGTGTGAACGCTCGCAAACCGTTCCTCAAGACCCGTTCCTCTGGAACGGTCTGGAGCGGTCTAACTAAGACCTCTTTCAAAGTTAGTGAGAACGGGGTCAAAATATATAAATAAATAAATAAATCCTTCACAGTGTAAATCCATCGGCCAAAGTCTCAGGGTGGCTCTAAAACAACATAAACAAATGCTAGAACATCTTCCTCTGGAAAACTACCTGTCCAAGACTCCTTTAGGTTTTCTTTATAAAGTGCGATAAACTGGCAGGCCTGGTCTGGGGCCAGTTCTGGGGCCTGGTCCAGGAGGAAGCTCTAGTGTCTCCGTTCCATCGAGCAGCATCATGGATGCTCATTGAGAGATTAAGGAAGCCTTTAATAGGATTCATATCTACATTCAAGAGACCAGCCAGGAGATTAACTATATCATCTTGACTCTCACGTCAGGGTTGGACCAGAGTAAGACCAGAGTAAGACCAGAGTACGGAGTTAGACCAGAGTACGGAGTTAGACCAGAGTACGGAGTTAGACCAGAGTAAGACCAGAGTTAGACCAGAGTACGGAGTTAGACCATAGTCAGAGGATGTGTGATTCTTACCTTGGTATTGAGTAGACATAGGCAAGGAGTTTGACAATATCATCTAGACTAACATCAGGATTAGACCAGACATGACTGTTGGCTTGTATCTCCAGGACTGCTCTACAACCTTGGTCTCTTGAGCCTACAAAAATGGCAAATATAAAACACAAAAAAAAGTTTTAGGTTGATAATTACTAGGTATTGTTTCCATTCTTATGCCAGCTAATTATGTATTGGGTTTATTTTGGCTCACTGGTTATGTTTCAATGTTCCATCTACAATTATCTCCTTTGACACACCGTGCAATCTTTTATTGCTCAAGACATATTTTTCAGAAAGGTGGATAGCTGGATCCACTAATATTCAGCACGCAAGGGGATGAGTTAAATGTATACTTCTCATCTACAGCTTCCCTCAATATCAATTTACATTTCTTTTACATTCATTTCATTATTTTCCTTGAGAGAATTGAAATAATGGATGGAAATCTTACCTGTGAGGATGAGGGCTTCAGAATGGAGGACTTCAAAGTTGACTTCCAGAGTACTCTGAGGGGCGTGGAATGGAGGATGGGGAGGAGGTTTCTTCTCTGACTCGCTGCTGCTACGTGAGAAGGATGGCATCCTGGTAGGCATCTTGGTCTCCTGGTCTCTACCTGAAGATGAAAACCAGATGTATTATAAGGAGAGGGTAGAAACTAATCTCATGAAATAAAACCTTTGAAGACAACATGAAACAGCTCTTGTTTGTACCTTCTGTAGCTTTGACTCATGCAGTAGCTGGAAAGAGGATTCAATAGAAATTAGAAAATTGGATTTGATCAGCAGATAACACATCCAAGTTTAACCTAATTCCTGTTTCACCATAAATACAAGTGCAGTACCAAAGAACAATAGCAGTAAATAATTGTTTGTTTACTTTCTAATGATTCAAAGAGATGGTCAATTTGTAGAGTAAGACAGAAAGATTGCTTTCCAATCCACATACATACCGGTATACCAGTACTTGTATCTCCTTTAAGTTGTCATAAAGATCACTCGCTAATTTAGATCAATGTTCGCTTGGTCATTCCCATCAATATTTCCAAAAAAACAATTCACACAGTTTGGCTCTATCATTTGCTTCCTCTGAGAGACTATTGATTCACCCTGATTCATCCCACACAGAGATCATACAATGATGAAATCATTCATGATTCTAGTTACTCCCTGGTGGGGAAGTCAAGGGTGGAGTCAACAAGAAAGTCAGAACAGAGAGGTAAAGCACAGCAGAGAGGAAGCTACAAGGGTTCAATGCCACATCATGATCCTGGTAATATATGTGAACATATTTACGAAGGAATTTAACCACTAGATATCGGGTAAAGAATGTTGAGTTTTGGGATACCAAGCTGACGTCATTTTAACCTCATGTCACGTTATTCAAACTAGAATGCTGTGAAGCCCCACACGTACACTCCCTGGCACCTGTCTTGACCCTACATCGCCATAGCAACTAGGTTTGTTGGTAGTAATCCACCAGTGAGGTAGAATAACATGGCTACTCTTGCAGGTCACATGGTGTTAGCCTCAGAAGGCCTCCTACTTTACATGAAATATCCTGTTGAAAAGTATTACAGCTTCGCTAAATTTTCTAATATTCTCCCCAAGACAAAAAGTATTAACTCTCCATCTAGACATTTAATTGAAAGAGTCATGGATTTAGAACAACAACATGGTTCTAAACTCTAGGTCAAACTCATTTTATGTCTAGTATCAAGTATCAAGTTTATTTGTCTTCCAGAAATCACATGTAACAAAATACAATATATAATGAATAATCATAACAGTACAATGTAGAATAAAGAAAGACGAGTCTCAGGGAAATTTGAAAGAAACCATTCTGAACCCAAGGGTCCCATTAGAATAATTGCCAAAATTTGGGGGTTAGTAAAATTTAAGATGGTGTTTTGCCCCTAGACCGCTGTCAATGTTGAGTACTACATTAGTAGAACAAAACATTTGACTAAATTGATTCTTTGCTTATCCTGTACTACATGTTTTCATCAATAAAATCCAAGCGTCTTGCTAAAATTTAGAAATATTCAGAAATGGATTTTTTTGAGTGAGTCAAGCTCATGACTCCTGCCCCCTTGCTGAGTTGGAATAATAAATCTTAGTTATGAACACTATGAAGTCATAGAACAGTTTCAAAACAAGATCGTAAACTCTGAGGTTTGTTTCTATATCCCATTCTCTATCAGACAGGCAAACTGATATTGCTTTGTATAGTTACTATGGAGAAGGTTATTGGGACTTGAAATATGTGCTTGTACTTTACGCTGTGTTTTTACCCCACCCATGGCCAATCATTAAAAATATAATGTAAGGTCATTTGATTCTACTTTACATTAGATCTATATTCAACAATGAACAATAACATGGCTTCTCACAAAAGAGTAACTAGTTCAATTTAGGATTTATTTAGGGCAATAAATTTGGTCTTAACAACCTACAACTTGCCTGAATATAACCTGACATAGCAACAGCACATGCAAACAAGGTGGACTACACCCACAAAGAATATAATACATACAGTACAGTGGCATTAAAACAAAAGTTAGTTACCCACGATTTTGACAATTTAACATCTACATATTTGATCATGAAAAAAAAACTTCATTACTGGTACAGTGAAATCACAACAGAACATCAATCAAGGCTCAGGGCTAGACACTCACTGTTTTTCAGTGGGTCTGTAACAAAATGAAGTTTGCATCCAAGTTTATTAAGCCACTGTTTTTTGTCAGGACCTTCATGTGTCATGTGTAACTTTTGACAACAAATACTTAAATTCTCACTTACTGTCTTCAAAATGAACCTATACAGTATACATTTGATCAAAATTAAACAAAATAAAACTCTGTTGCTACGGTACTTACAATCGTTTGATCTTCAGGTGCTCTAATTTATCATTTGAAGATGCTCACAAGCACTTGTTACACCTATCAACTCAACTTGAAAAGTATCATATTTCACTACTCATCCTTAAATCACTGCTATTCCACAATTTGTTAAAGTATTCATTCATCACGTTCATAACAACACAGTGATTACATGCAGATTGGATTTTAAACTCATTACAAAGTAAATCAAACTTTATGAATGAGGTATAATAACATCAAACCTAGATTTAAACTTACTGCCATCCCAGCTCCGGTGTCTCCGTCCTCGGTTAAAATCCATAATTTCCACTACAATGCGTTGAATACGATTCCAGTAAACCCAAGTCATTGCAACCCTGAGGGCACGCAACGAGATCTAGAATGCCACGTAATTCACCCTCACTCCCTGGGAACCAAAAACCCTCACTTCGTCCCCTCCTCCCTCCCTCCACAAAATTTGTTCTTTCTAGGAGGTAGTCTTTATTCATTAGGATGGCTCCAAGATCATATCAAGAGAGAAATTGAAAAAGAAAGCAACAAGGTTATTCCAAGCGGTCGGTCCTGGTCGGTTACCCACGGCTACGATGGTTTATTCAGTGAAAGAAGTCAAGAAGTCAATCTTTATAACTTGACCAAGGAAGGTATCCTGCTGGGTTCTAATCAGCGGACATCTTGGTGAATCCTGACTGAAATAAGAGAACGGATTTCGACTCAATCTAAAGCCAAGAGGATTTCTTCTTTCCTTCTAGCTTCTGAAGTTGAGAGCTAGCTTTCTCTGAATTCATGTCCAGGATGTACATTTGAGGTATGGGTGTGAGGAGGATCAGATTGACCCTAATAATCCAGCAGATACTTGATCTACAATACTCTCAACATTTATAAAGGTCTGAAAAGGTCAACTCAATATTAACAAATCCAAAATGATTTCCTAAATTTAGATTTGGTCATCCACAATGTTTGTAATTGCATTCATCTCAATCAACAACCATTTGCTAAAGTAGTCGGAAAATAAAATTACCGACTATCGTGACTCATATTTCAATTAGTGGATTATCTTCATCATTTTAAAAACATATTACCAATTTGGAAACTTCTGAGTTTGACAATTTCAAATATTGCACTTGATTAATAGTATATACCATGGGTAAAAAGAAAATTAAGATGGTTCTGCAATCTAAAGTGACTTATGAATGATACATACATGATCACCATGTCCCTTCTGTATCACAAACCCAAAGGGGCTTAATTCTGACTTCAAAAACTTTCTAGTAAGTGTTATAGGGAGCCCTCTTTTGCAACAAACAATACAGGCCTTCATGTTCTGAACATTAGTACATGAAACCACAACAACTACCACCTCTATAATATTGGATTGAATAAATAAAGGCAAAGGGATATGAAAAGTCTTTCGAGGCATATTCCAAAATTGCAAAGAGTTTTTTTTCTTAATTACAAGGTCATATATCAGAAAGAACAACTAATATAGAATGAATCATGTTATTCGCATTTGAAGGACACTATACTCTTTACGTGTACCTCAATTTGTACAAGATTATCAATAGTGATTCATAGGAGAATATCACTGCCTTCTAAAGCCAAGGTAAAATAATTTGCAATGCAAGCTCTCTCTGAATCTATACTCCAAAACAATGAAATGATGAAATGAAAAATGAAGTTCAATCTCTGTCTAGGTAGCTCATATTTTCTTACTTTCAAGTATGATCTAAATCTTTTCCTTTTCTGATCCAAAATGGACTCATCGATACATTGTAACCTCCTCTTCTTGAGGGACACACAGAAACCATCAGTAACCCATGGCAACATTTACCTGCATCTGATGTTGCTCCAGATGTCATGCTGCCGTTTCCTTTCCTTTTCTTCTTCCTCCATGATGGTCGTCTTCTCAGCTCAAACTGCGGCTTCAAAACATCCGGCCAAAGATGCCTCATGATACCTGCATCCGTGGCAACGACAACAGTCTTCAATCCTGTAGCATCGTCTGTTTCTTTAGACTTGAGATCCCCTCTAAGCAACCTCTGTGGAGTATGGTAGGAGAAGAATTCTCTGAACATCTCCACCGGGATGGGTACCTCTGTGAGGGTACCCTCCGTCTCAGGGCAGGCAACCAGGACCAGAGTCACTTTCTTGGGACCATGGTAGCGCACGTAGATGTAGAAGTCACCAACATGGAACTGGTCCCAGTCCAGCTGGGATAGATGGACTAGGATCTGATCAGAATTGGTTATAGGCCAGCTTGGCTCCCTTGGTTTGTGCTTCAGTTGGAGCTGAAAATAAATTGTAAGAAAGAAACAAATATTAACTTGATTTCTGTACAGAGACATTCACAAATCTTCAACATTCTGTTAGAGAGGATATGTTCTGTGCACATAAAACCACAGAGAAGCATATGGTACTTTAAAAGTTGGAAAGGTTTGAAAAAGTAGAATGCAGCTAGGCTCTGTTTCACTGATCAAGTATGTATGAGAGAAGAACTTAACAGCCATAAAACTTTAATAAATATTGTACAAATGTAAAGAGGTAGAGTTTTTATATCTCTACTATGAAAAGTACTTTATTCCGATATCGTGCACATATTTCACATCATCAATGAGTCACTACTTACTATGAGAAGTGAAATTCCCAGTGAATCCAGAAATCCATTCAAAGATAACAAGTCAGCTCATTAATTCAAAAAGCCTTTGAACAAGACAATTTACAAACTCCCATCGCACACTACTTCAGCAAAATTCATGCACACAATACCATGAGATTGAGAGAGAATAAATCGTAATTGTTTAACAATCTTCAGTTCCTTCCTACATCCCAGAAATGGTTTCCTTTGAAAGATCTTAAACCTATTTACTTAGGGTCATTCAAAGTCTTAGGTTTGGAGAAGAAAAGAAAGAGGTTTGATCTCCAATCAGATGCGCCCCACATACAGAAGATTACCCACGAGGCTACATGATCCCAGGGTTTTGTAGTCTTAAGATAAAGACGACAGGAAACCATGAATCCCTCAATTAGGTCCTGGAAGGTTTAGATCAGGAGTAAACTATCGTCACTTTCTAACATGATTCAACATCACTCTAATCTTATAGAGGCAGGAACACATTAATGTTCATTTCTTTATGCATAGCTTTGTTATGAGTCACTCCATTCATGTGTCTTCCCTTTGTCTGTACTTCAGTTAACCTGTTCAACAAATTTCACACTTTTGACACAGTACCATCAGCTGCTTTGCTATGATATAAGATTACAAACTGAGAATAAGGTATCCAATAGAGACAGCTAGGCCACAGTGTGACAGTGGATGAGTAAATGGAGTAAATACTGCTCTCTAAAAAAATTGAGTGATCACGGACGTCACTCCTCTGGAGAGTGAAAATGTAGTGAAAATAGAGTGAACATTCACTCTTTTCTTCTTAGAGAGCACTCTAAAATCAATCGCTTTTCACTCCTAAACAAGTGATCACGGACGTCACTCCCAAGAAAGTGAAAATAGAGTGAAAATTCACCAACCTCATGAAAAGGAGAGGCATGTTAATGTTACTCACTTCAAAGTTCTATGAGACTGACATGTCATTTACTATACATTATGCACTTCCATTATTGAATTACTAGCCGATTTCCACTTTGGGAGTTTTTAATTGAAAACACAGTATCCTTGTTAGGGAGGCGGGATTGTAATAGACACCAAAGCATATATTGGGGAAGGAGGGGAGGAGGGGGGGTCTGTAAACAAGGAAAGTGCCCTAGTATTAGCATTACCTTGTTAGGAGGGGGGGGGGGGTCTCAGTACAATGCATGGATATCCATAGTATGATGTAACACTGACACATACTGGATGGGGGCTCTCTACTCTATCAAAGTGCCCCTCATTTGGGACCAAAGTGTGTTTTAATAACACAATCCATACTAACACATACAATGGATGGGGGCTCCGTACACTATCAAAGTGCCCCTCATTTGGGACCAAAGCGTGTTTTAATAACACAATCCATACTAACACATACAATGGATGGGGGGCTCTGTACTCTATCAAAGTGCCCCTCATTTGGGACCAAAGCATGTTTTAATAACACAACCCATACTAACACATACAATGGATGGGGGCTCCGTACTCTATCAAAGTGCCCCTCATTTGGGACCAAAGGGTGTTTTAATAACACAACCCATACTAACACATACAATGGATGGGGGGCTCTCTTCTCTTATCAAAGTGCCCCTCATTTGGGACCAAAGCGTGTTTTAATAACACAACCCATAATAACACATACAATGGATGGGGGGCTCTGTACTCTATCAAAGTGCCCCTCATTTGGGACCAAAGGGTGTTTTAATAACACAACCCATACTAACACATACAATGGATGGGGGCTCCGTACTCTATCAAAGTGCCCCTCATTTGGGACCAAAGGGTGTTTTTTAATAACACAACCCATACTAACACATACAATGGATGGGGGCTCCGTACTCTATCAAAGTGCCCCTCATTTGGGACCAAAGTGTGTTTTAATAACACAACCCATACTAACACATACAATGGATGGGGGCTCCGTACTCTATCAAAGTGCCCCTCATTTGGGACCAAAGGGTGTTTTAATAACACAACCCATACTAACACATACAATGGATGGGGGCTCCGTACTCTATCAAAGTGCCCCTCATTTGGGACCAAAGTGTGTTTTAATAACACAACCCATACTAACACATACAATGGATGGGGGCTCCGTACTCTATCAAAGTGCCCCTCATTTGGGACCAAAGGGTGTTTTAATAACACAACCCATACTAACACATACAATGGATGGGGGGCTCTCTTCTCTTATCAAAGTGCCCCTCATTTGGGACCAAAGCGTGTTTTAATAACACAACCCATAATAACACATACAATGGATGGGGGGCTCTGTACTCTATCAAGGTGCCCCTCATTTGGGGCAGAAGTGTGTTATAATGACACAACCCATACAAACACTAGAGGTGCATGGCCTTGGAAGGTGCCCCTTGTAGGGGAGGGGTGTATCAGTATAATGCACATTCATGTGATATGGGGGCGGGGGGGGGGGGGGGGGGGGGGGTCCTAGACAGTCATGACTCAGATCTGTGTCTGTATGATCCAGACGATACATAAGAAGGTCCACCCTGTATCTAATCATACCTCATTAATACAGGCTAGATTACAAACAAGATATAGAGGCAAGTATCCATGACAATTACATTTTCAAGGACAAAAAAGGCCTTCTCTCAAATATCACTTTACTCATTATTTGACATTTTGTTTCATTTTTTGAAGGTTAAATAACCATTCCCATACAATATACACATGCCTCAAGGGCTGAGAACATAGTGCTCACGGAGTCATGGACGTATCACAAAGCATTTTAAATATTATCAAAATAATTATACAATTATCAAAAATCACAACATAGCACTATTCTACTAACCAAAATTATGACCTCATTAAAATTTTCAAGATCATGGCAATATCATTTTTGGCTCATTCTAGCTCATTTTATTGAAGTTGTTGGTTTGATCTTGAATGGGGATACTATTGTCATGTCACGCTACCGGCTTACAGAGACATTGGAAGAAAGCCAGAGTGTCAATATGTATCATAACGGAACCTTGTGGGGCATCTTAATATTACCAATCAACTGGAGGAAATTGGACAAAAAAGCCTTTTAACCTGACACTGTACTGAGTGATTGTCATCAATTGGCAATATTCTTGATGAGAAATAAATAGAGCATTTGGTGAGAGACAAAAGGCTATTATCCCATATACTTGAACAAATTATGTCCTACTGGCTCTCAGTGTATGAAATGTAAGATAATATTATGCAAAATAGGACACTACTAATGTTTACATTTCACAGATAGGACATACATGACATATTCATAATTCCTGCAAAGTTCTATAGAATTTGATGTTGGCTGCATAAGGGACATATTCAAATTCAAATTCAAATTCAATTTATTTCCACTTTAAAAAGCATTAACAAATCAATAATATATACATATGAATAATAGTGGCGGGGTCATAAAAAGTACTAAATTGGCTTGTTGAAAATAACATATTATACATTATAAGAAAAATATCAAAAAACTATTATTATGTATCTTTAAACTACCGCATGTAAATTTAACATGTAAATGCAAGACAACTACGTGCAACAAAGATTCTGAGCATAATTTCATCATGAAAAAAACTTCATTTTGCTGCATCATATCTGAACGTTCAGTCTGTCTGCCGCCACACATCAAGCATGTGTCAGATTGTACTTCATGATACCCTTGAAGATAATCAGTGAACCTCTGGGATCAACTGTTTTTCCCTCTCTCTACTGCTATGACAGGTAATCAACTACACTACAAATTTATCTTTCTGTTCAGAGCCTTATCAATACTTTCTCTTTCAACTATCATTTCGTACACATTTTTTCGGAAATAAACTGACTGTATTGTAATGTTATTGTCACAACTTTAGGTGATAAAAAAACTTGATATGAATGATATCACAACACTTGTACAGCTGGTGAAGGTACATCAATATTTTGACAATTGTTTCCATACACTATAACACTTTGAGAAATAGAATATAAATATAATGTTGCACATGGCATTAGTTGGGTGTATATATGCACTATCTTTCCAAGTATGATAACCTTAACAAAGCATAAAGAGAAAGAGAAAGAGAGGGAGAGAGAGAGAGAGAGAGAGAGAGATATGGGTATGGCATGATGGAGTCATTCTTCTGAGTTAAGCTCTAACCTATATTCCTCTGCTTGATTACACTTCTATTCAATCCTTACTTCTCAAAATAAAATGTATTCTCTACAGGTCCTTGAGATGCGTGAAGGATAATAATGCCTGGTTTCATACTCAGTAGGTGATTCAAAATAAATCACAGTACATTAAACCAACCCACAGACTGATAGGAATGTTTATAAAATAAACACTAAAAGTGATTGCCTTTCATTCAAAGCACAAGTTGAAAGGCTCAATAGAGAATGCAAATATTAGAAAAGCAATACCAGCGTGACTGTCACTCACAATCAAGATTCTGCTACACAATAAAGCACAGAGCTTTCAAGAGATGTAAATATTAAAAACAGAAGTACAAGTAAACGTAGGAAAGACAGAACATGAAGAAATAGTAGAAGTAGCAGAATTAAAAGAAGTACAAGAAGTAGAATTAGTAAAAGTAGTCAAAGTAGTAGAAGTAGTAAAAGTAGTACAAGTAGTACAAGAAGTAGAGGTAGTAGAAGAAGAAGTGGAAGAAGTAG